AAGCAATTACACGTATTGTTCCTTGCTGTTCCTGGTAAAGTACCGCCCCAAGGCCTTCCTGGGAGGCATCTGTGTGAACTATGAAAGGCGCATCGTACTCCGGGTATGCAAGGATTGGAGGGGAAGTTATTTGGTCTATTAAACTTTCTAGTGCCCTCTGATGTTCTGAGGTCCACTGCACTGGATTACGAGAAGATCGTATGTTCTTTTTCTCTCCAACTTTACCGTTTTCTTCCTTCAACAGATCGTAGATTGGTTTTGCTTGCTGTGAGAAGTTCTTAATATGCCTACGGTAAACACCTAGCAAACCCACCAGCTTTCGAACATCGCCAACAGTAGACGATGTTTCCACATCTGAATCGCGCTTGTTGCCTTAGGGTCCATGCAATACCCGTGCTGCGATACTAATCTACCAAGGAATGAGACTTCTTGTTTAAATAAGTTACATTTCTTTGGTTTAAGCTTGACTCCCCACTCTCGCAACCGTCTGAGCACTTTACGCAAGTGTTCGATGTGTTCAGTGAAAGAGCTGGAAACACGATCACATCGTCTAGGTAAGGGATGCAGATCTCATCTCTTAACTCGTCGAGGCAGTGTTCCATGAAACGTTGAAATTGACAGGGGCATTCATTTAGCCAAAAGGGATTCTCACCCATTCATACAACCCCCAAGGAGTTATGAAAGCTGTGAGGTGTTGACTTTTTGTTCCCATAAATCCCTGATGATAGGCCTTGCCCTGGTCAAGGACACTGAACCACGATTTGTCGCCCAAACTGTCAAGTGAATCTTGTATTCGAGGTATTGGATGTCGGTCAGGCACAGTATTTCGATTTAGTTTCCTATAATCTACCCACAACCGCATTCCTCCGTCCTTGTTTCGGACACAAACGACACTACTTGAATATGGTGATTTCGACTTTTTAATAAATCCACGATTTAAGAGATCCTCTATGTACCCTTTGACCTCGGGGTACAAGGGTCGCGGTATTGACGCATCATTTTTCTGGACAGGTTTCTCACTCGTCATAGTTAAATCCATTGTCAACTCTGGAATGCATCCCACATCATCATCATCTTTTGCAAATTATTCACGCTCATCGTACAGTAATTGTTTAACTTGTTTTAACTGTTCACCATTTAACCCAGCCAGGTCTACAGGAGGCAAGTTTTCAGCACTCACGTTGTCACATTCCTTACTTTGGGTTTGATCAAAGTGCTGATTAGTAGTTGCTTTAGGTTCCTTAAGCTTCACTTCAATCGGAGTTACTGAGCGAACCAATTGCAAATGCCCTACCACTGTTCTACCAGGAAGAATAATGTCGTGATTTGTTTGATTTGTAATCTTAACGTTCATGAGTGAACAGTTCCCTTGTTTTATTGATTTAAGTTCCTCTTGTAATGATAACCCTGATGGTAATTCAGTATTGTCAATAGGTTCGAAAAGAACTGGAACAGTGCGGTTTATTGGACCAGTGTTCGCACGACAAGGTACATCAATACTTTGATTTTTTTTAATCACAATATCTGTTTTGCGACATTTTACTTGACAAAGGCCATCAGGATCAACGCCTGTACTTTCTCTCCCTTACAACTACCAAAACTTCTCTTCATTGCATTCACAAATGTTTCTGTATCACCACTTATTTCCACATTTCTGAGTTTACTAATTACTTGTCAACGACTGTTTATGCATGAAAGTTTCTGAAACAATTGAGACCTGGGCACCGGTGTCCCACAATGCAGTCACAGCTTGCCCATCCAAATGACAGCCTACGGAACACTTATTCCCACGAGTATGTTGTTTAGGTGACAGGTGACTCGGATAAACCTGATTATCTAAACTATCTCCCGGGGCAACATAGTTAACTTCTTGCTCAAGCTTTTTCAGCATCTCAATGATCTTGCATAAGTTCCTATGCTTTGGCCAGTGTTGTCGCTGACAGTTTTCCGAACAATATAGTATAGATTTACACCGTGAACACTGCAACATTTTACTTGTTAATACCGTGTCCGATCTTGCACAATTACTGCATTGGGACCTATTTGTATTGTCATCAGCTACACCCTGTCCCGTGGGGGTAGCCTCTGTCCGTTTCCCGACCCACATTGCTTCCCCTTTCTACAATACCGAGCAATGTGATTTAATTCCCCACAATGAAAGCAATGCCTACACTCGTCAGTAGGTTTACAATTTTCACATTTGCGAGACGGTTTTGCTTTCCTCAGGTTTTGATTCTGATTATGCACAGTCTCACGGAGTGTTTTCATCTCATTCTGCATGGCAGATAGGTCAGTCTTGACTTGTTTAATAGCTGCCAAAATCTCTTTCTTCTCCGTGTCATCCTCTTTTTGAACTGCCGAATCGCGTGCTTTCATGCTTTTTCCCGGACTTGCTACATTAAACTTCTTACTACGTTCCGTTTCTGCCGACACTGCTAAAAACATTGCTTCAATTAGTTCTTCATCGGACACATCAGTTTTTGATACTAAAGGGCGAAGTTTGGCCCGGATTGTCTCATCTTTAAGACCGGTTTCAAGTGCATGTAGAAATAAACTTTGTACCGAAGAACTGTCATACGTAAGCTCACTACCTGATTCCTTCGAAGCAAATAAAATATTCTGTCTGATGGTTAGTGCTCTCATCAGAAATGCTTCGGAATCTTTATTCGGCTGTTGGGCTATATTAGTCAATGCCTGATACAATTCAGTTGCATTTTTCTCGTGAAAATGAAAGCGAAGAATCTTTCGCAGTCTAGCTAGGGTTAGGTCACCTCATTTTCTAAGTAGCTTCGAAGCTGTAAACCAGGTTGAACAGCTCTAATTACTGCAGTAACTATTTCTTTATCTGTATAACCTTTCCCTAAGCCCATTTCCACTTACAACATTAATGATTGGTAGCCTAATTTGTCCTTTTGCCCAACTTCGCCTATTGTCCCTTGAATCTTGAAATCTCTATGCAAAATTGTTGCCTGCAAGCCCGAGTTTAACCCCAACAAAGGCATTTTTGTTGAGTCAGCAACAATAGGGCTGCTTCCACTTGACTTGGAACATTTTCCGACTGTTTTGCTTGCAAAAGCTTTTCTTTGATAGCTTTTTGTTGCAACTCAATTGCTTTTAGCTCTATTTCGAGCTCAGAAGAAGGCTTTAACATGTTACCTTCCTCATTTTTGGCTTAGGGTGAGCATTTTGGTCGAGAAAATCAATTAAACCCTTTAAATATTCGTTAGTCTGTTCGTCGGAATCGAACGTGTTTATAATCTTTTCGAATTCGGTTCGAATATCTTTAATAATTTTTATCTTTGTCTGTCCTTCGATCTTTGCTTTATCGACTTTCAGATACAAGCCAAATTCAGTCAAGTCTGTGACACCCAACGCCAGCAGTTTACCGTCCAATATAATCTCTGTTTCTTCAGCTGCAGCCATATTTATATCCCAAAGGTTACGCCGTATACTTTATACACTCATATTGTCGCCAAACACGTTGAAATACATCGTTAGATTCCCGCCTGAGCCCCCGAAATGTTACCTTCACTCTTTGTGCTTTAGTGTGTAACTTTATTATTATTTAAAACTCACATTTTAACGGTATTTACTAATTACGTAATGTCAAATTCCGTGGGGTACAGAAGCAAGTTTTCTATGAAAGTTTTTATGTGGCAAATTTTATTTCCTAATTGCACATCATGTGTAAATGCAATACATTTTCTATGACGCTATATTATTAGCTTACAATAATAGATTAGATTGCTCACCAACCGCATGTACTGTACTGTACTTTGCCAAATTTTCTTTGTTGACCCATACAGACAAACACAAAAAAAGCTAGCATACTAGTGTAGCTTTTGAGCAAGTGATCTTGTCATGGTAAAAATGGGCAAAATTGCCTTTTAAAGCAAATGAAACTTGTCAATAACATATATAACTTGCTCGTCTGTAACCAGCTTTAATTGGTAATGCACCCTGATGTGCCCTACATTGTTCTTTTACTATTTCAAATGCCAGATGATTTTACTCATCAAGAGGAGAGTGTTGCTAGTCAATGAGTTTTACGCCTGCCGAGAAACCTGTTGCACTGATCAAATTATTAAATTTGGTAGTTTTTTATTGTGAAACCAAATGCATCTTGCAATGTGACACGTACTGTATCTCTTCATAAATAAAGGTAGTATACGTTAAGAAAAAAATACCCTGAAATGGCAAGCATGTGAAATATCAGAAAAACAATCAATATAGTAGTGCCCCCCTTTCCCCCAGTTTAATCGGCCCAAATGTGATGCATTTTCCCTTGCGTAATACAAATCAATACAAAATTTGCAAATTTTGCTGGGGCATATGCATCTTCCTCATTTCACAACATTTTGCAACCAATTACTTTGCAATTTTACTAATTTTAAGATGCTCTATTTATAATAGTTTTGTTTGTGGAAACACCACGTAAATTTATTACTGCAAAGCTTTCGATACGTAAGACCGGATCTTCATCAGTGCTAATAATATGTGAGTCACATATTATTAGCACTGATGAAGATCCGGGCTTACGGATCGAAAGCTTTGCAGTAATACATTTACGTGGTGTTTCCACAAACAAAACTATTATATGTTTTATCGCCATGCAAACATACAAAGAACTTGTGCTCTATTTAGCTGTGGTGATGGATTTCGTTCTTCTTGCCTAGATCAAAATTTAGTATATAGCTGAAATCATCCATTCTTTTGATCCACTGATCATGTATTATTACATTTGCGGGGACTACTTTGCAAATTTCTAGTTCGACGCTGAAATATGACCCTGATTAATCTTCCAACTCAAGAAGCCATAATTTTCGGTATTGCATTATACATGCAAACTCGTCATGCTTAGTGTCGACTGTCAGATGAGTCATGATAAAGTATATAAAACCAATGAGAGTGCGTGAAACACTCTAAATTTTAATATTGCTGAAGCTTATTAACTTAACAATATAAAATTATCATATAGTGCTGAAGCTGAAATCATTCAACAAGCTGAGCGACTAAGGTTAAACAACTTGCACGGCTGTTCTATAAGTATTAAAAATACTAAATCTGTTCGTTTGAAACAAGAATGCTGCTTAAAGTCTTGCTGTTTTTCTTCTTTGTTCACGTTGCGCACTCGGGTAAGTTTTCAACGTTTTCTACAATGGCAATTTTTACTGTACGATGGTGACACCTAAATTGGGCCTTCGTGGCTTCAGTATGGCTATACGTAAACTAGATTTTGGTTCAAGATTAAAGTTTCCGTTATTGGTGTACTACGTGCGATACTACGATGTACATCTTTGCAAAATGAAAAGCAAAATAGATGTATAAAATATGCATGCACAGTTTCGACTGACGCCCCATGCAATCCCTCGATTCAGGGCTCGAAGTGGAGAAAAAATACGGCCTTCCAGTCTAATATTTAGCCTGCCATTTTTATTCATTGAACTGCCGAAATGGCGATGTATCATAGGAGTCATATTGTAAAAATCAATGTTTTCATGATATGCATTTTTATTATTTTTAAACTTGTCCATATTTTACTACTGTAGACTTGGATTTACATTTCAAATCTAAACGTATTTAGTCACCTATAATAAAATAATCTAGTATATATATATATATATATATATATATGTATATATATATATATATATATATATATATATATATATATATATATATATATATATATATATATATATATATATATATATATATATATATATATATATATATATATATATATAGTTGTGGTAAGCAAATGAAATGAAATATTTTTTTTACTTGGCAGTTCAAATTTGTTTTTGCATGCCATTTCTAAAATGTGGCCTTCTTCTGGCCATTGGCAGCCCGCTATTTCGAGCCCTGTCTCTATTTGTATTTAGGTATTTGGCATTATGTCGGCCACGCCTGCATTGGTGCGAAGGGCAACAGCTATAAAGAACTGGTGTATAAAGGACCAAACGTTTTTGTTGGCGCCGTGAAACTTGTTCACACTTCAGGCTATGTGTCGTGCAGGTCATCTAGTCGAAATTCCTACTGGGGCTGTGATAGCAGCAAGGTTCTTGCTATTACCATCACAGATACTAGCGATAGAGTCCTTTATCCTTCGCCACATTTGATTAAAAGGGGAGGAGCCGGTTGGTATGAGATGCCAGGATACAACGGTGTTTCCCCTGAGCTCATCTTTAGAGATTTCTGTGAGCCGCAATATTTCAAGAAAGGTAGAAAACTGAGAGTTTGGTATGGCGAAGATCTACATGGTCACACTGAACATGATAACCATGGAAAATCCTGCATGCATGTTTATTTCTATTTGTTGGCACATTAACCTTGGATTTGTACGTTAAAACTACCTATAACCGTATAACTACCAACAATATTTACTTTTTATCTCGAGTTTTTGTTATACTGTAGCTACTGTATTATTTTGTCGGAACGTACGAACTTTTACTGAGTTTTACTTGATTAAAATTTGGTAATTATCAAACAATGTGATTTAGATGATTGTTGTATTAGCGAAAAATCGTAATGTATCAACTGAATGTTATGGAAATTACAATGACCTATTAAATAATGAGCAATGCTAAAAATTGCTTTAAAGTGAATTTTAACTATTTCCTGTTTCAACATCCTGCATAGGTTATAGTCTAACGATGTTATCAACTCTTTACATTGACGTATCTTACAGGTAAACTACGTCAAGCGTTTCTTTTTTGAGTTCCTAACTTGGTTGCAATTTTCCGCATTGCCTTTGCGAATGTGAAAATCTCCCTTGCAAATGCCTTGAGGGAATTTGCAATGTTCCTAAAAGCCAATTAAATTTTCCTCAATTCCTGTTAGAAGTTCTTAACTTCCTGTGACAAGTTCCTAACTTCCTGTTCTGTTACGTGCATTGTAATTGCTAACAAAAATAATCCACCAATGACAACGCTCAGAACAGAACAGGAAGTCAAGAAATTAAAACAGGAAGTTAGGAAAATTTGAAAGGAAGTTTCTCAGCATTGGAATACCGCAACAGCCGATAGGAACATTGCAAATTCCTTCAAGAGTTTGCAAGGGAGTTTTTCAGTTTTTCAAAGGTATAGTGAGGGAAATTGCAATCAAGTTAGGAACTCAAAAGAGGAACTCTTTTTAGCAACTTTACTTCACGCTATGCTATAGTTTTTGATACTACACTATTTAAAAAAGCATTAATAATTCATGAGGAAAACAGAAAGAAAAATCATAAGCGTGTCGTATCTTTATATATGATAGAGATTTCCCTTGATTTACATAAACTTTATTTCTTCCATTTTCTCGACTTGCACAACGTATTTTTTGAAAATTACTTCGCCAATGAACTTACTAGCTCGATCGTTTTTGAAGCAATTTAAAACATTCGCAGTACGTTTTTTATCAGACCTAAAGATACTCTGCTTCGCCTCGTATCTTGATATCTGATAAAACACTGCTGCTCATGTTTTAAATAGTACGTAACTTGTAAACATCAAACATTGTCATTGACCAGTTTTTCCGCTGAGCTGAAGTATATCAACCTGTAATATCAACGCAAATAATCAAAGAATATGTTGTTATTCTTCTATAATGCATAACCATTTTGTCCTCATTTATTAAATTTAGCGGGAAAAATTAAATATGACTAAACCCCTCCAATCACTCGTTTAGTTAATATTAAAACCGGGATTTATTCCTTGCATGATTTTGAGAAGGAACCGAAATATTGTCTTAATGTATAACGACGAAGGGTCTTTGATTGAAACATCAGAAACCTCTATAGCTGCTTATTTTAACGAATGGTACCAAAAACGTTTCTTGCATTATCTACACTGCGAGCGATTCTGTGCCACCCCGGACCACTGCGGCTGTTAGCTTTTGTTTGAGCACTTTGAAGAGTTATAATATTCCACAGTTGTGTAGTAGTCGGTTGAATAAAACAATTTTGCAACCCAAAATGGCGGATTATTTTTGATGATGCGTCATACTGCAAGACCTGAATAATAAAAAAAACTAAACCTACAGCCCTGCGATTTCGGTGCAGTTCTCTGAGTCCAGTTGCGGATAACTAGTCACAAGTTCATGTATATATATACCGTATATATTGGTAAAAATATTCAAGATTTTTGGGCATCAGATTTGAGTTTTTGTGTGACGAAAATTTCGAGCGGAAATGATTTTATAATTCCAGACACATATACAGTACACTTCAAAAGTTCCCGAGTATTTTGACTCAAAACTATTGCACCCACCACAGCCACACAAAATGTTTAGTAAAATTACTCGAATTCATAGTTACTCAACACCCTCATCCCCAGGGCCACGCTCGTTGCTCCCACTGAGCGAGAGCAACGAGCGTGGCCCTGGGGACGAGGATGAGTTACTCAAGTAAAGTTTCAAATTTACTCAATGTTTTGAGGAAAGATAAAAAAATAAAAATATTAGTGAATGAATTTTAGTAATATTTCTGAGTCGCTGCATTTTTGAGTCACACTTTTTTGCAGTGTATAAATTTATTATTGGTATACACAGTGGCGTAACGCTCATTGGGCATGGTTAGTTCAAAACTAAGGGTTAAGGGCCCCCGACAGTTAGGGCCCCCCATCAGCCACGGCTTATCGCCCAGAAAATTAGAAAGTGTAAAATATACAGGTTAAGCATCAATGGGAAAATGCAAAATTAAGATAAAGCCTCCATCGACAACGGTAGCTTATTTTTTTATTCCATCTCAAATAAAACAAAATTTATAGTTATTAGTTGTTACATGTGTTGGAGACTGTTATCGTTATTGTTATAGAAATAGAATTTTCCAAAACACTCTATAAATATTCAATATAAATATAATATCTCATTCAAACAATGACAACAGTCAACACCAAATATGCCTAAGGGCCCCCTCTTCCTCCGTTACGGCACTGGGTATACATTTTGAGAGAAATTGTGATTGTCATGCCCAGTTGTACAAGTGGTGACATTTCGTTTTGGTGCTTTACATTGTTATTATGGTGGTTCATATAGAGGAAGTTCAAACTATAACTGTTAATTCATATGATATCTTTATATAGATGGAAGGCAAGTCGGAGCGCAAGAGTAATGCTAAAGTGAGCGCGTTGAGAGAGATTGAGGTTGATGTTCAGAAGTTTTGGAAAAATGAAAAAGTATTTGAAGAAGATGCACCTGAGGTAATCTATGTAAAGATAGACTATGATTTAAACAGCTTAACATTAGTTAAAGTGAAATGAAATCCGTTCTACTTGTGTGCAGGTGTTTTATACATAGTTTGTTTTGAAAGAATTTGAGATAATTTTTATATTCCGTTATAATTTTTATATAATAATCTCAGTTCATTCTGCCTTTCCATTGGTTGAGAGCCATGATCTGTCAGAGGATAGACGCACGGATGACGCCATTTCAATGACGTAATATCTTTCAACCAATCACAGCTTTCTCAGAATCATCGCGAACCAATGGCATGCGTTGCTTTGTCTCAGCGGTTCTGTATGGATCATGGATCACGTCAAATGGCGTGTAAAATTCTTTCCGTGGTGCTTCAAAACTTGCTTGATATACGAGCTTAGTTTAGTTACAGTACTTTTGAGCTTTTTTCATTATATGAAACGAATAGATAACATTGTGCCGTTGTCTGTTCAGTTCTATCTCCGCAGAGGACTCATCCCGGCGGTTCGTGGGCCACTTTTTTGTTCTTACCACGTTATGACGTCATATAGCAGACAAAAGGCAAAATGTTATTAAATTCTCGCGACATCAATAGACCTTATGCATAATGACGTCACAAGGCTTGATGCCCGCGAGGAATGCTGGTCTTGGTAGTCATCGCCCGGGAAAGTTTGGATAGTGGCCATTTTGAATTGTTTAATTTTCCTGCGCGATGACTACTAAAACCAGCATTCCTCGCGGGCATCAAGCCTTGTGACGTCTTATAATTATCACTCCGTATGTCCTGCGAATATGCTTGATACGTTTTCATTGTTTATCTAGTTGAACTCCGAGGAAGCTAAGAGGTACTGTAACAAATATTATTATCATCTTAATGATTATGAAAGAAATATACATGTTGCTTGCATGCCAGTATAGGTACTGTAGAGCCAATTCGTAGAATACATTCGTACCCTTTGCTCTAAACGTCTCATTTTTCAGGCAGTTGCATCATACATATTGTAGAAGCCTGAAAATTTACATGTACTTGCACTATAGTGAAGATGTACAGTATTACTCGCTTAATTGGAAAAATATTACATCACCTGATCACAAATTAAAACATAATAAAGTTTTCCTCATTAATATTCAGTAGTCAGTACACGTCAGCATGTACATTCTACCACAGAATAGATACTAGACCAGAAGGGTCACTCCTATGTGTTTTGGCTTGGGAAAAACGTCCGAAATTTTTTACGTGCTGTGCACACGGCACTTTGTACCTACGTTTGTACCTATGAAAAACTTCCGTGTGCACTCCAGGATGGCGTCATATGATGGCGTATTTTCACGTCAGCACTCGTGAAATTTCGTAAAATTTCACGAGTGCTGACGTGAACTTTCGGACGGAATATCGTCTGAGTGACCCTTCTTGTATAGTATCTATTCTGTGATTCTACGTATGTTCAGTTAGGGTGGAGTCACCTTCGCTCTTCACCTTGACTATAGAGCCTCGTTTTCATGATTGAGACGTTAGGCTTTAAATAGACTATGCTTTAACTAATGTCACGTACACGAAATCGAGGGTCTATAGCCAAAGCTCAGTACCTTCTGACTCAAGTCACTTGCGGATAACTGGGTTACGGCCGCCGCGGATCCCTGAACATCTGACATCCATGCTATATAATTTGAGCTTGTACAGGTACGTACTTTTTAACAATTGAATTCATTTTTAGGAAGCATAAGTATTTCGTGACTTTTCCTTATCCATATATGAATGGTTGCCTTCATTTGGGACATACTTACTCTTTATCAAAGGTAAATGAACCTTTATTTCTTCTACAAGTTAGGTCCATGAACTATTCAATTAGTTGAAATTGAAAACTGACAGTCGGATTTTTCTGATATGGGCGCTGGAGGGACGCGGCAAAGTGCATGTATTAGAGAGGTGTCCGTTTTATAGAGTTTTGAGTTGAAAGAAAATAATACAATATTATGTCCTGGCAATGGAAACTACCGGATTAGAGAAGTGCAGAAAAATTATTCCAGATGTATAAGTAATATATAAAGCATGAGCAATTTCAATCATCTCTCCATCTCGCAATAGTCCAATATAATTTTGAAAGTTTGGTCTGACAATATGTCCCACGTTTTGGTCGGACATGACTAGAACTCAAAAGAGAATAGTTGTACAATGCATTGCATTGTAACTATTTCACCTACATATGAAATTTGAATATAAATTCAATATAATATAGCAATTCATTTGATGAATATGCAGTACCTCTATCAATATACCATTATTTGAAAGAAATTTCAAATGACAAATCATAGTGCGTTGTAACTATTAAGTAAAGACAGCTTGTGCAACTATAGCCTGCTGGAAGTCCTATGACGTAGCCAAACGGTGTACAGTGAGGGTATATTGTTTTAA